TATTTTAATTATCTCTAAATATATAAGAAATAAATACAATATTATCTCGTAATATATCAGAAAATTTTTAACCTCAATTTATCCCTACTAGACTGAACCCATTTTTAATATAGAAATACTTAATTCTAAAAAATCAGTCCGAATTGAAATTCGTGGACCATTCGGTCCAAGAGACTTGCAAGAAGGAAGATTGTTAGTATAGTATTCTCTTCCCTTCATCTCTTTTCTTCTTCTCTAATACTGATGTTTAAAGTAATTTTTTTCTTATAAAAATCAAATTTATCAAAATACGTAAAAGTACTATCTATGTTAAAAAAATGTTCGTTCTTTCACAACCATAGGTACTTCGGCAAGAAGCACAATATAATAAAAGAAATATTCAACAACAAATACAATTAACCAAATAGCAATCACAATAAACGTAAATAATAAACTAAACGAACATAAAAAATATATTTAAAATTCAAAGGTGATTTGGTAATAAAACAGTGATTTGCCTTTGATTTCAATCCATACAAGTTCAACGGTAATAACCGTATTTTCTCCTAAACCTTAAACTTTCGACCAAAAACTGCTAAAAATACATTTCCAAATGAATACCTTCCAAATGGCAGCTTGCTTTGCCTTTTACATGGTATGAAATTTATCTTTTTGCCTCCGTATCTCGATTTTTCAATGTTCATCGGATCGTACGGTTGTAGGGACCTTTGTGTCTCGAATTTATTCGACATTGTGTTTTCTATGTATGCCTTACATTGTTGTGTCGAATAGGTGATCGTGACTCGTCCCAAGTCGAGCATGATTGGCCTGCAAGACTAAAGATTGTGCAAGGAATCGCCAGGGTATTAGATCATCTACTCGGCCCCGATAATTATCCTTTTCTCTCCGACTACGGATATCGCCCGTTAGTAAACGCCAAAGGGACTGAAACCCTGTTCACGTACAAGACTCCGTAAGCTACACAAGGAGGAAAAGTATCCCCTAAAAGTGATGTATATTGTTTAGGAATCTTCATCCTTGAGATCCTTACAGGGAAGTTCCCTGCTCAATATCTTAGGCATTACGAAGGCGGAACCGATGTAGTCCAATGGGCGGAATCCACACTTTCGGAACGGAGACGGGATGAATTGCTCGATCCGGAGATAACCGACAACCAAAATTCATCACTCGGTAACATGGAGAGGCTCCTCCATATAGATCCAAACTTATATTTAATGCTCAAGCAAATTGCTAGACTAATAGAAGAGCATGATTAAAATAAGGGTAAAGTACAGTAATGGTCACTGAACTTTTCTAAAGCTTTCATTTAGGTCCCCCAACTTTTAAAATTTGCAATATAGTCCCCTAACATTTAGTCCGTTTGCAATATGGTCCCCCAACAGTTACATCGGGGACCATATTACAAACGGACTAAATGTTGAGAGACCATATTGTAAACGGATTAAATGTTGGGGGATTATATTGCAAGTTTTAAAAGTTGGAGACCTAAATGAAAGCTTTAGAAATGTTCAGTGACCATTACTATACTTTACCCTATATATAAAAACAAAAGATTACCAGAGGAGGCAAAAGAGGGCAAAGCAAATTCCTGAGCAGCCCTTGGTTTGGTCTGCGATGGAGAAACTGAGAAGACCTTGTTGAATAAACATGGAAAAGGACAAACCCCAAATCCAGTAACATGGAACAGTCCAATGTAAAGTCCTTATCACCATTGTACTAGGTTGACCATCTGATCCTTTTTTTATTATAAAAAAATACAGTATAACCAAAACACGTCAAGGTACTAAAAGTTTACTGTCTAACATGCATTTTATGACTATTTATGAAGTTAAGTTCAACTAAGCGACTGATTTTGGAAACAAAAAGAAGACGACAATGGTGAGGTTAGTAGTTAGCTGTTGTTAATTTCCTAGGTAGGTATATATATGCATGTGAGAAACACTTAAATCCTTAGTTGACTTTTTTTATTCTTTCTCTTTGTTGACCACGTGCATTTTATAATTAAGCATGCATGCATATGTGTATGCATATACCTTCGTTTGCCTCAGCACATTCAGTAGCTAAATCTATGGCGGATTTCTTGTAGCCAACGACGGCGACTTTCTTGCCTTTCAACAACTCTCGGGCGGCTTCTTTATCCAACTTGGAATACTCGATCGTGTGCATAACTTTGCCGCCGTAAATTTCTCGGCCTTTGTTCGGAGGGAAAGAAGGCATTCTCGGTATGTCCCTTATTTGCCTATGCATACCACCAGTAATTCGAACACATACCACTGCAAGCAAGACGAAAGGTTTTATATTAGAGGTGAACTTATAAAATTTAAGGTATTGTCCCAACCAGAATCCTCACCCTATCCCTAACTGCATGCACTGTAGTGTTATTCCGTTAATTCCATCACAAGTTAAATTTGGTGCAAATCAAATTAGTGATATGTTTTAAAGAACAACCTCAAACAGTTTTCGATGGATATATTTCCACAGCGACTTCCCAGGCAGGGTGGCCACTCAAAAGAGGTCCAAAGTCTCCGGGACCATCTGAATTTGCAGTTAGTCCGTCACTGACGTAACGGATCTCGACGACTTTCGAACCGAACCTCACGTACTTCAACACATCAAAGTGCATAGCGTAACCGTGCAAGTACTCCAGGATCTCGAGGTAAGAATGGAAACTCGAATTGTCCCTTTCGGGCCAAGGATAGTCGGAGAACTCCAAATCGCACCTAGGGGTTTGGAGCTTGGTGGAAGGGAATGAACAATGTTTCCAAACGCCACCTATTGAATGAGTGGCCTCGAGAACGATGGGATTATGATGGGAGAGCTGTTTAGCAGCAGCTATGCCGCTGATACCAGCACCGATAATCCAAACTCTTGATGATTTTCGGTACCCAATTTGCTCACAACCCATACTGGTATAGCTATGGGATACACTACAGCAAAAAAAAAACAGAGAGAGTCAACTAGCTCTTAGAGATTGTCTTGGTGTGCCGAAGCTGAGAGTCTACATGATTATTTATAAGGAACAAAATGAGAGTAGAGTTTATGGGATTTCCTCGTAAGTTCGTACGTCTAGTTATTTAATCTAAAATTGTTAGGTTTAATAATAGTCCTGTCCTACGTTTTCCAGTTCCTCGTTACAAAATAGGGAAAATCCATTATTTATTGGTAGCATCATAAATATATGATTAATTAATTAATTAATTCAAATTATGTTTTACAAAGATTCATTACAAAAGTGATACTTCTAATTCAATTTTTTTCATTCACAACTCCTTAATTCAAATTCATAGCCTTTATCAGTATACAATAATCTTATCACTTAGTTATAGTTAAATCAATTAGTTTGAGAATCAATTCATATTATAGAAATTGCATATAATATCGTAGTCAAAGTTTGAATCAAATTTGTAATATTATTATAGAATTTGGTTTATTTTGAATCTCTTGTTATATATATTTTTTAAAAATCAACTTATTTTTAAGTTAAACACACATATAATCATAATAATTTTCTTTAATTAATTATATAATTTTAGTCTTCTAATTATGAGTCATGAATGATGAAACTTGATATCAATAATAGATTAGTTAGCAAAAGAGAGATTTGAATTCTTGTGTTCTCATGGATCGATATATATATATATATATATATATATATATATATGAATTTATGCATGACCTTGGAACCATATGTTGCGAGTCAATACATAAAAAATAGGGTAAAGTATAGTAATGGTCATTGAACTTTTTTAAAGCTTTCATTTAGCTTCCTCAACTTTTAAAACTTGCAATATAATCCCCCAACATTTAGTCCATTTGTAATATGGTCCCTAAACATTTAGTCCATTTGCAATATGATCCCTGACATAACTGTTGGGGGACCATATTGCAAACAGACTAAATGTTGGGGACTGTATTGCAAGTTTTAAAAGTTGAGGGACCTAAATGAAAGAATTAGAAAAGTTAAGTGACCATTACTATACTTTACCCTTAAAATAATACATAGTTTGATAACCTAATTAGAATACTTTAAAGAGTAATTTAAAATTTATATATAGTTTTAGGGATTATAGTGCTATTAACTCATTCAAAATTATGTTTGGAAGGAAGCCTAGCCTGGGAATGTTAGATGGGCCTTGGACGATTAAAATCTTAAAATGAAGCCTTAATAAAGTCATATTTAAAATGGGAAAACGACCCACCACCCAAAATTTTGAAGGTATAATGTAAAAAGTGCTCTCAAGGTTTGATTAATCATCATTTTTGTATCTATTTTTTTAGTATTTTAATCCTAACGTTTTATTTTAAGATTACTTCTGTGGATGAAAATCGTTAGTCAACAAGCGATTAGTGTTTCAAGACGGGACCGTTTTGTCTTAAAATTAAATATTATAGGTCAAAATATTCAAAAAAAAAAATTAATCAAAGTGAATATTTAATCAAATTCACTTATTAATTTATTTTTTAAAATTATTATATAAATTAAATTAAATTAATATTTAAATTGAAATAATTAATTATTTAGACAAAGTAAAGATACTATAAAAGTAAACGATTGAATCACATGAGAATATCAAATCTGAAATTCAGACATCATATAAAGACCAAAATCTTAATTTTATCCAAAAAGAAAATAGTCAAAAAAAAATGAGAGTCCAACAAAATAATAAGACCATGGGAAAGAATTCCACAAAATAGACCAGACCCACTTTCTTCTTCTATTTTTAAAAATTCCAGGTTCAGACAAAAATCCCATCTGCAGCCTTACAAGACCACCACCTACTTTACGCATCTCATTATTAACTCTCTTTCCTTTCCCTTTTTCTTCCCCTATAAAAGAAACTCTCCGGCCCACCTCAGCCGTCAAAGACACAAACTTTTCCCTTTTTTCTTCTTTTACTGGAGAAAAATAAGGAAAAAGTTCCAAGCTTGATTCTTTACTTTATTTAAAAGTTCCCAGATTTCATTTTTTGTTGTTGTAAATTCTGCAGTTTTTGTTTTGGGGGAGGTTTTCGTTAGTTGAAGCTAATAATGGAGTTGCCGGAGAATCCTAATAAGGATAATAACGGCTACGAATCGGCAGAGAAAATAATCCTACGGTGGGACTCAACTGCATCGGAGGATGCAAGAGAGAAAATGATCTTCGAAACAGATCGTCACGAAGCCGATCTTTACCTACAAGCTGTCGATGAAATCCAGCGGTCCTTATCCAACGCATCAATTTCCGCCGCCGCCGCCTATGACCAATCAAAAGTCAACTCCACGATCCAGATCGCAATGGCTCGTCTCGAGGACGAGTTCCGCAACATCCTCATGACTCACTCATCTGCTTTGGAAACCGATTCCCTTTTCGATCCCTCGTCGTCTTCATTTTCCTCATCTTCTCACCACGAGCTCGAAGAAGACGATACAGTAAGCAACGAAGATAGCAGCCACAACGGTCTCCTTCATTTTCAGTTTCAGCACTGTGAATCCTCCGATAGCTCCACTTACCGGTCTACGAGCAGTATCCGAGAAGTGGATCTGATGCCAGCGGAGGCGATTTCCGATCTGCAAGCGATTGCGACGAGGATGATCTCGTCTGGGTACTTACGCGAGTGCATTCAAATGTACGGCAGCGTCAGGAAATCGGCCATGGATTCGAGTTTTTCGAAACTCGGAATCGAGAAACTCAGTATCGGAGACATCCAAAGACTCGAATGGGAAGCTTTGGAGAGTAAAATCCGGCGTTGGATTCGAGCCGCCAAAGTTTGCGTTGGGATTTTGTTTGCCAGTGAGAAGAAGCTTTGTGAGCTAATTTTCGAGTGCATCGGAACGGACATTGATGATGCTTGTTTCATGGAAACAGTGAAAGGTCCAGCAATTCAGTTGTTTAGTTTCGCTGAAGCCATAAGCATAAGCAGGAGATCCCCTGAAAAGCTTTTCAAAATACTCGATTTACATGATGCATTGATGGATTTGTTGCCCGACATCGAGGCGGTTTTCGATTCGAAATCATCGGATTCCATTCGAGTTCAGGCTGCCGAGATTTTATCAAGGTTAGCCGAGGCTGCTCGAGGGATTCTATCCGAATTCGAAAGCGCAATCTTAAGGGAGCCCTCTAGAGTACCTGTCCCTGGTGGAACTATCCATCCTTTAACTAGGTATGTGATGAATTATATCAGTTTGATATCTGATTATAAGCAGACTTTAATCGAGCTTATAATGTCGAAACCATCGACGGGTTCGAGGTACTCCGGTGATCAATCGATCCCGGATATGGAGTTTGCCGAGTTGGAAGGGAAAACTCCTTTAGCTTTGCATTTGATTTGGATTATAGTTGTTTTGCAGTTCAATTTAGAGGGAAAGTCTAAGCATTATAGAGATGCTTCTTTGGCACATTTGTTTATCATGAATAATGTTCATTATATTGTTCAAAAGGTTAAAGGGTCACCCGAGTTGAGGGAAATGATCGGGGACGATTATTTGAGGAAGTTGACGGGGAAGTTTAGGCAGGCGGCGACGAGTTATCAGAGAGCAACTTGGGTGAGTGTTTTGTATTGTTTGAGAGACGAAGGGTTGCATGTGAGTGGGAGTTTCTCTTCCGGCGTGTCGAAGAGTGCGTTAAGAGAAAGGTTTAAGACTTTCAACGCCATGTTCGAGGAGGTTCATAGGACTCAAGCGACATGGTTGATACCCGATACTCAATTGAGGGAGGAACTAAGGATTTCTATATCCGAGAAGTTGATCCCGGCTTATAGGTCATTTCTAGGGCGTTTCAGGAGCCATATAGAGAGCGGAAAGCACCCGGAGAATTACATCAAGTATTCGGTCGAAGACTTGGAGACCGCCGTGTTGGATTTCTTCGAGGGATACCCTGTATCCCACCAACAGCTGAGGAAGAGATCTCAGTGAAGAAGTGATCTGATGTAGTTTTGCGGTGGTAGAAACTAGAAGAACATTCTTTCAATTTTTTTTTGTAGGATATTTGGGCAAGAAACCGGTGCATGCTGGACCTGGGGCTGCCCCGAGCTCTCCGATTCGATCAAAAAAGACCCGATGTTGTTGCTTCCTCTAGTGGCTGAATGCTTTGTGCATGTTTGTTGCCGCATTCTAGATTTTGTTACCATTTGTTCATATGGTTTATTGTTGTATTTGTTTTTGGTTTTTTACTATCATCAATGATATGAAGAAGCATTTTTTAGGCATCCTTTAAACTAAGGGATATCATAAAGTGTCTTTTCAAATCATAGATCAAAAACTTAACTAAATCAAATAACCCGATGAACAAAGATACAAAGATTCAATGAAAGAAGTTGCGTGACAACAAAAACAGTAGCAGGTTCAAAGATGGCTGATTTTTGTCACTCTGTCTTGTCTTCTTCTAAATCACCGCCATTTGATGCTCCATTACTGCCCTGCACTGGTCTAAACTCTTTCGAAGGCGTTGGCGATGGTTGTATGAGAGTCAAATTGGTGTCGTCTTTGTTGAACTCTTCGTTCGCATCGTCGGAGTAAGCGTACCTGTTACGAGACCAGAACAGAAGATATAAGCATCTCAAGTTGATGTAATGTGCATGAAATACTTGGTACATGACTATATCAGAAAAGACAAGATATTGATCATACCGCGTCGAATTCTGAGACGGCGCCCATAGAACGCAGATGACACATAGCATAGAGAAAGATAAGACTTGCCAAAAGGCCGGGATGATCCACGCGTTCTGCCACTGCACGTTATAAACATCGTTCGACTTGAAATAAAGCTGAAAATACAGAGATACACAACTTGTTACATTTCTCAGTACTCTATCTCATGCTTCCTATACTGGAAACATGCAAGACTGCAATACTTTCTCGTAAACTACATGCCGGACTTAAGCTTGATGATAAAGCATCCAAAAGAAAACATCCAAGATAATGGACTCGACTACCTCGTAACATGTCCAACCCACAGATACGATAACGGCTACCGCCAATGCATTTATGAACTTCCTGTATATATCCAACTTTACCATCATCCTTCTCGCCTATTGCACCGATATACCATCGTTAAACTTGCATCATAGCATTTCAAACGATCTAATCGCGACATATGAGCATGTGTTGATCGACAAGTAAATATCCTTAGAATTCACTTTTAAACATACCTGGAGTTTACTTAAAGTTGCAGATAGAGAAGTAAATATCCAAAGAATGAAGAAGGCATCCAAGATCGCAACGGGAAGAACCAAAAACAGCCTCGCCTTTCCTGAAAAATCACTCACCGCACCGACATTTTCCACCAATTCAAGAACTTCGGATGCCAAAAAGAAGGTTCCTCCGAGCATTATCACCTTCGAAGTAAGCCCACCAAGGGTAGGCCTCACAACACCATACCCCATCGAAACCATCAAGATAATATTCCGTGAAATCGTACGTTTGATAGTACCGAAGGTGACCGCCCACAAGGTGATCCCAACCGGCCTGATTCCACCCTCGTTGAATTCAGCATAATCGAAATACCAAAAAGCCATCTCAAGCATGCCGAGTGTTATTACTAATGTTATGCAGTTTTGCAGAGGAAGAACCTCTCTCCAAAATCTCGCATACTGCGAGAACCAAAAGATTCCGATGATCACAAAAGCAAGTGACATGAACATACAGAAATTCATCAATGGTGCCATTCTACCAGGAAGATAGCCTGTAGGATTTTTCCATACAGTTTTCCCTTCCACAGTCAAATCTTTAAGGTTCACATCACAGTGAATGAAGTACAAGTTATACATCCCGGTTTTCGCAACCTTTATAGACTGATATCGTAATGTCGCAACCTCATCGTCTCCGTTAAACGCCACACCGAACACTTTGGGCCAGTTCGGAGTTATGGTGGAAGGACGATAAATGACTTCTCCTTCCACACAAACACCGAGTTTCGCAAGATCCGCCGTGCAACAAACAGCTCTTTGACCCCCATAAGCCGAACCCCCTATCGTCTCCCTATCTTCGACCTCAAAAAGAACTGCTTGTATCGGCTTCGAGCTAGCATTAGCCGATTCTTTCGGTCTACGGAATGTAACCTTCTCAAAACTGGTTCAACAAGACCCACAGTGTCCGGCATTCAGAAGGAAACAAAATGAGAAACATCTAAATACAAGCAAATAACACATAGCAAGCTCATATTCAGCAAGAACCCTAATTTTGAACGAAAAATGATCTTTTGTTTTTGGCTAGTAAAAGATTCAATCTTTTCACTGTTTTCTCATTCCAAAAACAAAAACATCAATTTGTCTTGCAACACAGTTCTAATTCGTTATCAGATCCTAACAGTTTACAAATCCCACACAATTCAAACAAATCAACACTGAAACTATCAACAAAACCAAGAGACCTAGAAGCTAATATCAGCAGAAACTTACCGGATATAAGATTCACCAATGATGGAAGTCAAATTTTGGGGGTCATCCAAAGAAGAGTAAATGCCTTCGCTGCCTCCATGGACGACGAATGCGTTGCCTTTAGTGACGAATTTCACACCATTGTATTCATGAACCGAAGCGTCACCGATTGAAATGAAGAAGAAGCACAAAAGGAGTAGAAAGAAGAAGGAATTTCGAAGCTTCAACATTGTCAAAAATGAGAAAAGATGGAGACTTGGGCTGGATCTGCTGATGGGGAATTCTTCTTTGTTCTTCTGTTAAAGACTTCTAAAGGAGCAAGTAAGTAAACTGTTGTGAAAATAAGATTTTTTTTTATTAGGTGCGGTCGAAGCTGGCAACCATGGAGTGGATTTAATCCTGACCATTGGATGTTTGACTTTCTGGATTTAATTTTTTTTACTATTAATGATGGTGAATGACGATTAAAAGAGCAAGAACAATATGAATGAAGCCAGTGCAGCCGGTAACCTTAGACTAACGTAATTCCAACACTGTATGCTTCTGTCCTGTCCCATCCCACTGTATCTGTAACTTGGAACATGTTCTTCTGAGGCTAAGAAATGCAGAATTTGATTTATATTTGTTGATTTATCTCATTACATTTTTTTAAGCTGCTCATTATTGTTATATTTCATTGACCAATGATAAGTTGTTGATTTGACAAGTTTAGTTGCTTATAATTAACTTCATTGATATTTTGACATAACAAATTCTCAGCTATTGTGATTTTAGTCTGAACCATGAATTTGATTAATTATTGGAGGAAATCCATGATTTATTCTAAATTGATTTCATTGGAAATCAAAGCAACATTCTTGTTCAATCAAAATATTACTCACCTAAATTCATCTTACAAAAGGTGAATTTTAAAAAAAATGAAGTCTAACTGGCAAGTGCTAATACAGACATCCGCCATTGCAGATATCTCAGCAAACATGGCTTGTGCTGCTTCCACAGTTACAAAATCATGTCAAAAAAAAGTTGAACGACACGGCACAGCTAGTACAAAACAGAGATTCTTGTCTGAAATTATACACCCTTTGCTTCCTTTGTCCTGTAATAATTTTGATCCACCACCACACGCAGAATTTATTCATGGATTTACCACCAATCTATATCTCTAGAACAATATCTGCAATATGAAAACTCAAGAGATAAATATCTACATATATGTACGTTTTGGCTGGTAATTAACTTTGTTATGAAAATCCCAAAATGGAACTTACATTCAGAATCTGTCTTCACCCATTTACCTCCATCTTCACTCTTTCTCTCCTGCGTTTCATCTGGATTCTTTTGCCTTTTGGGTGGTTGCTTGTCCTCCAAGTATCTCTTCGTCGTCGATGCTCGGTTCGGATTTTGATTGTGAATCTTCTTGTGAAGCATTACCCTCAAAAGCTATAGCACAAGAAACTAATCAATGAATCAATGTTGAAAGAAGTACATGAAATTTAAAAAAATGTTGCATCTTAATTGTTTGTACCTTCTCCATCCTTGACTCTTGCAGTGTATCTCTCAAGCTCGGTGCAGGTGAGAATCCGCTCGAACAAACGAACATCTTCTTCAAAAGGAAAGAAATCGATTTCTTACTGATGGCTTTCGTCTTGTTATCTTCGCCGCGTATGTCTTTGCATCTGCCGAGAATGACGCTAATGGTCCGATCGATGTTGTCCTCGGTTTTATCCCCTGAATCACTGCAAACTGCATTACTAAACCTCCTATCTACTTCCAAGCTAGATGGACAGTTAAGGAATCTATCCAATGGTAAGCTTGTCACTTCCTTTTTTGTGTCGGAGTTCGGTTTTCGGGACAAAAGTCTGGTAAGTTCCTTTCGAAGTTTTCTGACTTCCTCGGCAGTAAACTCGTGTAAATCATCGGATGAAGACGGTTCCGGTTCCTGTTCCTGTTCCGGATCTCGAATGTTGGATGGTTCTTGTTGGATGGTGTCTTCGGATTGAGGGTTTCCTTTAAGGTCATTGTTGCCAAATGTTCCTATTGCTAACAATCCATGAGGCCAATCACTGAACTCTTCTCTAGGCTCTTGTTTCATATGATCTAAAAACAAAAGGAGGTGGGCTAATTACTTCTTAGGTACTCATCAGTTTTGAAGTTAGGTAAGTTAAAGTGTTAAACCCTGATCCCAAATTTCCTGGTTTAATTCCTTTTAGGTCCTATTAGTTTTGCAATTAGTCAAATCAAGCCCTGACTACGTCTTTTTTGTTTAAATATTCATTAAGTTCCTATAAACTTTGAAACCAGACAAATTAAGCCGTAATTTCCATTCTATGTTCAAACTTCAAAGCTAAACAAGTTTTTGGTCTAATAGCATTTTAGGTCCCGTCAGTTTAAATTTAAGTCGAATTAGGTTTTAGCCCCCTCCAACTTTTGAGATTAAATGCTTAACGAATCCCCATTATCATAAACTTAATTAGATAATTTATCCCTCCCAATATTTGATCTTAGTTCCATCCCTGTCAAGACCCTAGTCTATCCCGACTTCGCCCTCACAGATCCTAAAATTTTACTTCATATTGACTAAAACAAAAGACTAGACAGATGTGCAAACATGAGAATGAATGTGAATGAATGCTTACATGTAGCAGAAACTGAATTTGATTTAGAGCACCCTTGTTTCCCATTGAGCTTATTTTGCATCCAACCAAAGAACTGCAACAAAAAAATTGTTCATCAGTCATCACCATTATGTAAATTTGATTATAACTCATTTACAGATTGTGAAAATCCACAGTAACAGCCAAAAAGAAGAAGAAACTTTACCTTCATTTTTAGCTATGCAGAACAGTGTGCAAAAACTGACTATAAAGGAACCCAATTGGTGAGCTTTATGTGATGAAAAGTTTAGAAAGTAGATCTATACAGCCAATGAGAAGTGAGCTTTTTGGTAGTATAAAAGATTGATGAATTTCATGACCATATTCATTCCTTTATCGGTTCAAGTTTCTAAACCCTAAAGACACTCCCTTCTGAATATATACTACAATCCATGCATGCATGCATGTGCCATGGTAATGGTCAGGAACATTCGGTTTCATGGGTTAGATCTCTAGGATGCTGATTTCGAGACGATGATCTTCTAGTAAGAGTAAGTCTCAATCTCTGTGAATTATCAAACGGTTATGGGAGTGACACATAGGAGGCATTGTTGAGGATTACATGAAATAATACATTATTTGTAGTGTAAAAGGACAACGTTGTTACACGTAGAGGCAATAAGTTTTTTATTATGGTGAAATTATTATCGATAATCTCAAGAGCATATAGTTAAAAAACTTTCAATTGACACCTTATTTCTTCCCTAGATTGTGAGTTTAATACCTATTAAAATCAAAATTTTCTTTTCCCCCTCCCCGTGCAGATAGGATTTGTTCAAAAAATTTCAAACATAAAATCGAACATTGAAATTAAGTTTAGATACCAAAATATATTATTTTTTTAAATAAAAAGTAAATTATTCTTAATCCTTTATTTACTCTGTGGTGTGTTGAGGATTAACGTGGCTTAATTTGTTTAATCGTCTCGTTTAAGTGTAATTAGGAACACAATGAGCTATGTGTAGGATGTTCTTTGGATTGGTTGCCAAACCAATGCATAGAATAGAAATCTCCTGCCCGTCCATGCCTCCTCTAACTTTTTGGCACTTGTTTTCCCTATTAAATTATTTTAAGCCTTGTTTGTTTTAACATGTGTGCGTTTTTTACGAATTTTCCCTCTTTTGTTTATATTAAAGTATAATTTATACTTTAAAATTTATTTAAAATTCTAATTGTATAAGAAATAAAAGACAATAACAAAAAATCAAATCAAGTGATTATACTATTTTATAATTTATAAATATTTTTAAATACAATATCTTTTATTTACATTTTTTTTAATTAATATTACTTATAACACCTTATATGAAATCTTTTCAAATTTCAATTGTATAAAGATTATAAATTCAGAAAGTTAGACAAAAAAGGCTTAAAATAATTTAATAAAGAAAACACGTGTCAGAAAGTTAGACAAAGAGGAAGGAATAAGGGTAAGGAGAAGGGGCAGGAGATTTTTATTCCCAATGCATAAGTGGGGATATCCCTTCAAGACCAAATAATAAAACTAAGGATAAATTTTAAAAATAGTCACTGAACTATTTAAAAATAAGTAATGAATTTTTAAAAATTACAAAATAATTATGAAATTTTAAATTTTGTTATAGTCGTTAGCTACTGTTAAGAGATAACATAACCCATTAAAGTTAATAGGTAATATCATTTAACCCCTCGGGTCTCAACTATAACTAAAATTTTACTTTTGTACTTTTCTAGTATTTACAATCAATAATTTTAAAGGAAAATTAAAAATATAACATAATACAAATCGATATCAACTATCATTTGACCTAATGAGATAAGACATCAAGTTTTTCAAAACAACGTCATACAATGTAAAAATTATCTCAACATACATGCATGATTTGATAAACATGATCAAACTTTGGGATATCACGATCACAGATGCATGGCGAATAAGCTTTTCCACTAAAATTACTTAGTAGAGTCAATATAGGTGGCTTAATTTGTTAACAATCACAGATTCGGTTATATAATATGATGAAATAAAAGATTAATTTGCGACTCGTGTGAAAAATGATGCTAAATTAAGCGAGTTTAATGTAAATTACCCTCTAATAATATATTAGTCGAATTAGACATCAGCGCGTAACTCAGCAGAAGCATAGTAAATTAGGGTTTATATTTTTGTGAAGAAACGAAGATGAATTCCTCGAGATGCAAGCAACAAGTAAGAGGATTGCAAGCTCCAAGATTAGGGTGAAATAAATATATGGCAAAGGCATGTGAGTAATCGAATAAAGTAGATATCTAGGGTTTAGGAACCGAACTAATATGTGGAAAGCCTTGGTAATTCTGGAATGTTTTGAAACATCGACTTACGTAAATCCGTGCATGAGCTGATGTGGAACTCGCCCTTCCATGCATTTGACTAGCTCGCCTTTCATTGGCTTTTCACTCTTTTTTAGATTATTACTTTATTTGATAGTTTGTTCATAGTTTTTAATTTGGTACAAATGCAACAGAGGTTATTGTACTTTTAGATAAAAAAAAATGGATGGGACTCTCGTATTTTTGTTGTACTTTTTTGGGGGAAAAAAATCTCTCGTATTATTTTTCTCTTAAATACGACTCTTCAACTCAAAAAATAAATCTAACATGGCTCTTTGACCAATATTTTTTGTCGTTGGTCGTTACAGTGTTGATGTGGTAGTTAACGATGCTAACACGACGCTTCATGTGATAGTCCATTTTCTACATTTAAGTCACCAATTTAGTCAATCTGTCATGTTATCTGCCACATTATCAACTACCATGAACTATTAAGTCGTCCATGTGAAGGTCAACGACGAAAAACGTTAGTCACTACAATAAAACATGTATATATAGCGACGTTTCAAAGAAAACACCATTAAATTTATACATATCGCGACGTTTATATAAAAAACACCACTAAATGATAACATTAGCGGCATTTTTTAACAAATGCCGCTAAAACATGTACTTTAGTGGCGTTTATTTGATAAACACTGATTTTTAAACAAATGACACCGCAAAATAATTCTTTAGTGGCGTTTTTAAACAAATGCCGCAATAGGGCATATATATCGTGGCATTTTTATACAAACGTCACAATAGGGTATATATATCGTGGCATTTTTATACAATCGCCATAATAGGTTTCATATATAGTGGCATTTTTGAATAAGCGCCGCTACAAATTTGTACCTTAGTGGCATTTTTCAAAAAACGCCGCAATAAGTTTCGTATATAATGAGATTTTTTAACAAACGTCATGGCAGATTTGTACTTTAGTTGCGTTTTTTTAGGAAACACCGCTATAAAATGATAAATAGTGGCGTTTGTGTCTTCAAACGACGTAATGTTTTATAATTTAAATCGCGTGAAACCCTTCTCCTTCCCATTTATTCCCTCGATCCCCTTTTTCGATTTCTCATCTTCGCCGGACATACCCAAATACCACGAAACTGCTGCTACTCGTCGTTGCTCGAAGTCGTCGAGGCCTCCAACGTCACACCATCAATGCTCGACTCTCTACCATCGTTTGTGCTCTTACTTACGGTAAATTCCCATATTTTCTAAACCCTAATTTCATTCTTTCGATTTTTTTTATTTTGTTTAATTTTTTAGTTTCCTTTTAAATTTGAATGATTTGCCATTTAAACAGGGAAATTTATCCTTAAGGTTGCATTTTGTTTTATGGTAAACCCATAGTGTTGGTCCTTGCACACCGAAAATTTGAGTTTCTCACCTCTTTTTCAACCGACCAAAAGTTTTTTTTTTTTTGTATATGATAATGTAAAGGGGTTTTCCCTCCCATTTTTAAATTGTTAGGTTCTGTTATTGGATCTTCCATTACTTATTTTCCTGTTCGATTTATTTTTAAATCTTCGAATGTCCTGATTCCAGTGCTAGCCTAGTTGGCCAAATTATATTTTCAAACTTAAATATTAATTGTTTAATTCTTTTTTATATGCCCCTTTGATTGTTATCATATGGATTCTATCTTGTTTCCTTTTCCATTTTATTTTATAGATTTTGGGTGTTTTTATAGATAATGAGGACACATAATTTCGTCCGTTCGATTAATATTTTTACATAATATATTTAATTACAAACTATATTATATAATATATATATTTACATCTATTTTATTTTTACATTGTGTCAGGCCCAAAATCAGATAATAAATATTACGCAACAAGCAACCTAGTCCCGGATACGCTGGAGCTGCAACCCGAACCGGTCTACTGGAGCGACCCGACCCGGAAAATTAGGGTTTTCAGAACCCTAGCTCACTCATCCCTCTAAGCACCGCACGCCTCTTTGTTGAAGACCCACTCCTCATGCAACCATCGCCGGTTTTCTCGGCAACAACACAACCAACAAGCATTTCAGTCCCGTTAGAGTTCTAAAACTACACGGAGATAGATTTTTGCTACTATAAATAAATGTAAAGAAATACATTCGGGACACACGATTTACACAAATCACTGAGAAATACGCAAGTGATACAAGTCGAAATTCGAGAAAAGCTTTGTAGCATTCGAACGAAGAACAAAATAACTTTCAAGGTATCCTCCATTTTTACAACATTATTCTTCATTTTATTTTGCATGTTCGAAAATATCGAGTTTCATAATCAAATAAGGGTTTGATTCTTTACCTGAGAGATACCCATTTCCCGACGAAGCTTCTTCGACCTTTCTCATGTCGTTCGGGGCTTCTTTGGTATAAAAACGAGTGAGTCACCGTTGATTCTTCAGAGTTTAGATCTTTCGAGTTTAGGGATACAAAAAAATCGAAGCTTTTTAGAAGTTTTTTGGGTAGTTTTAGTCACTTTTGGTCTCGGATCTGAAAATAGGGATAGAATCATAGATTTTGGTTGGTTTAGGTCTACATCTAAGTGTTTTGACCACCTCTAGTGGTGGTTGTATGGCGGAATTATGGCTAATGAATAGCCGCAGGAGAGAGGCCAAACAGGGCCATTTGGTTCTGATGAAATGCGCCGCAGTGAAAGAGCAGGAAGAGCGTGTGAGGCGTACGAAACAAGGGTTTTGGTTTTTATAAAGATGAATACGGCAAAGAACAAGTTAAATACTTAGGATAAAGGGTAAACTGTAGTTCAGTTCTCTAATGTTTAGCGTCTATTTACAGTTTGGTCACTAAATTGGGCTATTTGTTTTTATTTCA